ACAATGTCAGATCTCCCATTTGATAGCCTACACAGAAATTCACATTTCCGGGGCTACTTTGCCATTATTTGGAATCCCAAAGAAAGGAAATTGCAGGCAAATCCTACCTCCCTTGGACTGTTTTTAAAATGTCCTTGTTGCATTTTTCTACTTGTAGGCCACTGCCCCAGGCAGACCATAACAATTTATTCTCATGTAGACTGTAGACAGTTTCTCCTCAGTGAGTCAAGAATGAAATCCAGGATCCTATGGGAAGCTTAGTAGTTTCTCTACCCTCTTGTGGTGCTGAAAGTTTCTTTCCTCTATCATCGCCCCTCACTCCCTATCCCCATCTGGGCTGATTTCAAGGCTCAGGTCAAGTTTTACATTGGTAAAATATCACTTTTCTGGTCCCTATAAAAGAAAACTGCTCCCAAAGTAGATCCAGCACTGAGAAAAGGTCAGGTCAGACCAGAAATTAAAGAGTCAGCCCCTCAGAGTCCCTGTACCTTCTCCAACCCTACTTTTCCTTCATCACTACTCATCTCTCCAGCAGTCAGTGACTCTCAAATTCTCAATCACATTGTGGAAATGTGGGGCAGTGGGGACATGTTGGTTGACACAATGACCCGATCAGAGTAATCGGGGCATTCAATGACCAGGGATGCTAAATATCCTATAATGGACATGAAAGTTCTACATAATGATGAATCAGTCTATCAAAACGCTACCAATACTCCCTTGACAACACTCCCTCCAATATTTGGGGCAGACAAAAGCAGGAGATAAAGGCGAACTGAAGATAGGAGGGCAGTAAGAGAACAGGGAATGCGCCCCATCACAAGTGAATCAGCCTCCATCTTCTTCCTTGCCCTCACATCCAGCAATACTCTTTTTTTTTTTTTTTATTTTATAGAGGCATGTTTTATTTATTTATTTATTTATTTTGTTTGTTTTGTTTATACATGCACTGGGTACAGTCAGAAGCGCGGGAGGGTGAGAGAATTCACCAGAGCCAGAGCGGGGAGCAGAGCAGGCAGAAGGACCGAGGTACACTGCTGAGGGGAGCAGCGGGCGGCAGGAGAGGTCTGCGCGCCATATGGTACCCTCCTCCGGTGGCTGGGGAGCAGCCGGGGATCGAACCGGCGCCACAGTGGCTGCGGGCAGCTTCGCAACCCAGCGCTCAACCACTGCGCCACCGGGGAGGCCCCAGCAATACTCTTAACACATAAACTCCTTATTTTCATTCCCTTGACTACACAGGAAATTCTTGGGTTCAGTCAGATTTAAATTACATCTTTTAAAAATTTTGCCTTTATTCCCACATCTTTTTATTTGTTCTAATTAAGATAATTTGTGAGCAACTAATATTAGTAGCAGAAAAAATCAAGTGAAATTCTTCCATGTTGCTACAGGACTTAATAAATTTGTACTATTCATGTGCCTGTTGAAAAATTAGCTTTAAAGACTAATTTTTTTAGGGAGAACACCACAGAGGTTAAGGTTGTGAATTAATACCCTCTTATGAATCCCTTCATTGAGGCATGCAGGGTGTTGGAAGAAAAGTAGGTGAAAAGTCTCTTGCCACCTCTCCCCAGGTCTTTGTCAAGATCTAGGCAATATCAAAAGAGACCTCTTGTACAAACAAGTTTTACCACAGAGGGTCAGGGCATGGAGAAACCAAATGGAAAGAGACAGCTCAGAGTCTTGGATTAAAGGACAAATATTTTAAAGGCAGTGTGCCTGATTATGTCAGGAGATAGGCCCACGGCACTTTCTGTAACAGATGCTGAAGCAAGGTAAAATGTTCAGCAAGATACACTCACAGACTGAAAGGCTCCTGAGGATGGAGAAGTCCAAAACATAATTCTGTTTTAAATGAGCTGAGGTCTTGTTTTAACAAGCACAGATGTGGGTTTCCAACAAGTAGGATCCTTACAGAGTAAAGCAATGAGACTTCTGATGAGAGACATGTTCTGTCTGTATAGTCAGTCCAATATGGTAGCCCCCAACCACATGAAGGTGCTTGATATGTGGTTACCAAATTGGACAGAATTTCTAATTTTAATTAATTTAAATAAAAAGACATGTAGCTAGTGGCTACTGTATTGGACAATGGCTTAAACCACTGTTTGGGAAAAAGATCCAAGAAGTCATCACAAGAAAATCTTATACATCTTGTGATTGCTTGGAAAAATACTTTCTCAGTGTTCTCCCAACCACACACACTTAATGTCATATCAGAAACCATATTGGCCATGTGATTCTTAAACTTCATTGTCTATCAGAATCACTTGGAGGCCTTGCTAAAACAGATTATTAGGTCCATTCCCAGAGATTATGATTGTGAGGATGGTACATTTCAAACAAATACTCAGATGATTCTGACACTGAAGGCCCAGGACCACACTAACACTAGAACAAATGTCCGCATTTAAACACTATCAAAGTAGAGATTCTTTTGCTCGTCACCTTTCAGCTACACTGAAGTGGTCTTCTTGTATAAGGAATCCTTCCCAAATATTCATACAAACCTGACAAGACAGTTTAATCCCTGAACTGGCCCATCTTATGAGTCAAATTGAAGCTTTCTACTAAAATAATATAATTATTTAGGTGTAGATAAGGGTTATGGTCTTTTCCACCATTCCAACACAGAGTATTAGAAGAGAACCAAAAGAACATACCATATTAAAACATTTTATCACTCAAAGGGCATCTATTGAAATAACCTCTTTTCCATATTCCTGAAGAGAACAGAAAGGTAAAAGTTCTAGAATAAAAACAGATTTCTCCAAACATTTCTCTGGTCTTGCTTGTGTTATCTGCAAATCGATTTTAGGATCAGCAATACTTGGAGCAATATTTTTCTTTTGGTGGTTACGTTTGTTACAACGTTTGGTCTAATTAATTATAAATGAGTCACTTTAAGAGACTGTCCCACCAAAAGCAATTTCTGACTGCTCTTCTAAATAGCCTTTTTTTTCTGCCTTTTTCACTCTCCCTTTTACCTAAAACAAAAACAAATAAATCCTTCATCCAAAGTATCTTTGTAATGAAGCAGAATATGAAGCCTTCAAATAAAATCAGAATCCAGTACTGTTCATCATTTCCTACATGACTAAGGCTTTGCCTCCTCAAACTCCCAGAGTTCCTCAGTTACTGCCTTAACAAGGATTAAGAATGATCCCCGGTTCCCAGAAATTTGAGGAGAGGGCATTGTCTCTTAGCATTTACAGAGCCACAAGTAGTCACACACTACAGTGTATATTACTTCCTCAGGATACAGAGTTATTAATGCCGTGTCTATTTCACAGGGAGGGAAAGTGTATCAAAATGAGCTTAAATGATTAAAGTGGTTTCAGAGGAACTCAGAGGAAGATTAAATCAAGGGAAATCCCTACCCCACCCCACCCCACTCCCAAAGTACATCTGACCATGTCTGAAGACGTTTTTGATTGTCAATATTATTGGTGGAGGGGGGAAGGAGACAGGCATCTGGTGGGTAGAGGGGCCAGGGTACTGCTAAACATGTTACAAAATAAAAGACAACCCCACTGCTCAGAATATCAATAGTACAGAGGATGAGAAACTCCTGGTCCTCTGGTATCTCTAGCATAACTTTCCTTGGCCCCCAAATCAAAAGTTAAAGAATGACTCAACAATTTGAGATGGAAACAATTTCTGGCATGCTGTCATTTTTAATTATATAAAAATAAAAGATATGAGAGCTACAGGGGAAAAAATGAGGAAAGCTAGCAAAATTTGACTCCTTTCCTTTCCTGAGAAAAACCTAGCAAAGACCAGGTCTTTTCATGAGCAACCTTCAGGCTGAGCTACGGTCTGTGTCAGGCAACTGGCCTGGGCTCTTCGGTTGCTGAGGTGCCTTGAAGTTACCTCTTCTGTCCTTTGATTCTAAGCACACGCATCACTCCAGAGCAGTAATGATGTATGCTTATGGGAACCTCCAGAGATCTACAGCCCCTAATTGTCTATTTTCTTTTGTAAATTGTACTCATTAGTGAGCCACATGAGGTACCAAAGGACATCAGATTTCTGGGTGCCCTCTGTCTACTCTTGGGTAATGGGACATTATCTAACAACAGTTCCACAGTATTGAACCAAACTGCTTAAGACAACCCACCATTTAGTTTTTCAGAGCGTACCTTTTTATTTAACCTCCTGTTCCTCTTTTCTAGTCATCCTTAGAGCTGCACTAATTATAATTTTCTGTTCAAGGAGTCTGGTTTTTAAGCTCTAGAAGCTGGAGAGCTCAGAAAGTATGTGATGTCCTTTCTACTCCCTCAATTCCTGGACCCACCCACACTCTGAAAAGGTCATATCAAACAGTGAATTTCTCTTCCTGGTCTCAAAAGTCTTCAGAAAAAAAAAATCCAAAGCCAGCTTTGGTTACAATGCTTGCAATGCCCACATTCATTGCACTAGGGACTGAAAATAGATGAGGAGTGAAAAGACATGACTTCCACTGTCACTAAGTAAAATAAAATGGAACAGGTAGAACAGCATTCTTTGCTAGTGCTATTATGAACCAACCTGGGAATCAACAACTCTCTGGCAAACTGTTTCCCCACTGGAATAAAAAGTGACTAATGAAGAGAAGGTAAAGCAAAGTGATCCATGGAGGAAGAAGAAGATGATGAGAGAAGGAAATATGAGTGAGCAGAGTTAACAATAATGAGTTTATAAGAAAAAAGGCAAATAGCCCAGTTGTCTGCTCTAAAATATATTTCATGAAGGCCCAGACACTCCTCCCAGCTAAGTCATACCCCAAACTCACTGAAAATTCCTGTGTTGAGATACCTCTAAGCACAGATCCCATTCCACCATTCTGATCATAATTTTCTCTTCATAACTGTTGATTTGATTGGTTTTGAATTATTAAAGGTTTTGGGAAAAACCCTGCACTCACTCCAAGAGGATTGTGAAACAAGAAAGTTTATGACTTAGTTTATGACTTAGTAAAACCAGAAAAACAATGGCAGAGAATGCCTTTGCCTTACCCTGGAGGAAAGGGTATGAGAGCCTTCAAACGCACTTACATCCTCACGGCCCATCAGGTCTGCAGCTTTTCACCATTCACTCACTCCTGCATGTCTGCCCACGACTGATCAATCACCAGCTGCCAAAGATGAAAAACAGATGAAAGGATTAGGCCAAAGGATCCACAATGTCAAGTTCCATGCCACTGCTCAAGTGAATTTTGTTAGAGTAGGCTAAGTGCTAATATATAGACCTAATATATATGATGGCTGAAGTTCAATAAGTTTATTTCTGTTTCAGGTCAGTAAATGAAGTGGACCTCCCTGATGCCAGGCACCCTGTGTAAAAAAAGTACCGTCATAGGGCCTCCGCTAGTGGTGCAGGCGGTTGAGCGCTGCACTGTGAAGCTGTCCGCAGCCTCTGCAGTGCCGGTTCGATCCCGGCCTGCCAGCGAGGGTCCCACATGGCGAGTAGACCTCTCCTGTCTTGCCCGCTGCTCCCCTCAGCAGTGTATTTCTTCAGTCTGCCTGTTCTGCTCCCTGTTCTGTCTCTGGTGAATCCTCTCACCCTCCTGCGAATCTGCCCTGTACCCCGGTTCTTGTATAAATAAATAAATAAATAAATAAATCTTTTAAAAAAAAGTACCACCATCTTTAAAACAATTTCCAAGCTTACCCTAGGAATGCTTTCTATTCCAGCAGCTAAGAGCGTAATGCAGCATGGAGAAACCCATAGGGACATTCTCTTCCTTTCTGTTTTTTCCTTCAAGTGGATCACAACACTTTGCAGTTCCACTCACATTCTACTGGCTAGAATTTAGTCACACAATCACACCTCTGCCTGTGGGCTACTGGGTAGTTGTTAGTCTCTAACATACAAGCTGACTTTGGTCTAACCAAGAAGCCAGCATTAGGTTTAGAGTACAGAGGTCTGGGTAAGACACAGGCATAATAAGTTCAATAAGTTTTTTGAACTTAAGATACCTAACTGTGAACAACTCCAAGTCTTCTTTCCTGGTTTGCTTACCTATAAAATATTTCGCTTTCTTCATAGGGTCAAAGTGAGACTCCAAATGAGATAAAGCAGCACTTTTCAGACTTCTGAAGCCAAAAGTCTGCACATGCACAACATTTGGGCATCTTGATAAAATGCAGATTCCCATTCAAAAGGTAGGTCCTGGGTGAGGCCTGAGATCCTGCATTTCTAACAAGCTCCCAGATAACACCAATGCTGCTGTAGTCTGATCACAATTTTAAGTAGAACATAGAATTAGAGAATATTTATGTAAATCACAAAGTGATTTATAAATATAAAGAATTATCCTGGCATAAATTTTAACTGATTACAAATGAATTCCAGTTAGTCAACATTTTTAGGATATACTTAGTTTAGTTATAAGATAGGAGTTCATAGAGTCATAGGGTTTTGAAACTGCAAAGGATTTCAATCTCCATTGTTTTCTTACTTTCCATATAAGAAAACAAACTGAAAGAAGGTAATGATACTCCTAAAATCTCACAATAGCTCAGCAGTGTGCTGGGATTAGAATGCAGAAATATGACTTTTCTATGATAATATAAACTCAGTGGATAACTTGATGAAGAAGAAAGAGTAATTTTTACTTTTTTGCTAGAGCAAGAACAAACATATCTCTGGTCTATACACATTCACCGGCATGGGTCACCAAATTACCAGATGTGGCCACTTTGAAGCAGATGTAGTGATCTCCAAAGATATATCTCAAAATGTGACCTGAACACAAATTAACTTTTGTATACCTTCTAACAACAACAGTAAATTTTATTTTCAATGTATACATACTCTAAACCACCCCCACTTGGGGACAATTAGGAAAAACAGAACTTGTGGTTGCAAACAGAAAAGGGAAATAAAACAATTAGCCAAAGAGAAGCAGTGGTTTCTGTGGTAAACCCTAGGAACAATAAAGGAAACTCAAGCTTTTTTTAATCATTGATACATAAATTATTTTACATCTTTGAGATCATGGCAAATCTTAGGAACTTACAGTAAAACCTCAGAAATTAAAAGGCAGGAACAAAAACTCCAAGTTGGAAAGGTACTGACTATCTGGAAATCAAATTATATTTAGGGAAAAATAAGCCTCTTAGATATGCAAGTCATCTTCCATAGGCAACATGAATTTGAAAGTGTTTGGCTAATTGGTAGGAGTACTTACTGTAGGAAGAATGATAAATGGAAATCAATATTTGCATATTCTTATTAGTTTAAGATGGGTAAAACTATTTGCATCTCTTCAATTGGTTAGTAATTTTATTTTCATTTATTTATTTATTTTAAAGATTTTTATTTATTTACTTATACAAGCACTGGGTACAGTCAGAAGCGCGGGAGGGTGAGAGAATTCACCAGAGCCAGAGCAGGGAGCAGAGCAGGCAGAAGGACCGAAGTACACTGCTGAGGGGAGCAGCGGGTGGCAGGAGAGGTCTGCGCTCCATGTGGGTCCCTCCTCCGGTGGTCAGGGAGCAGCCGGGGATCGAATCGGTGCTGCAGAGGCCGCCGGCAGCTTCGCAACCCAGGGCTCAACCACTGTGTCACCAGGGAGGCCAGGTTAGTAATTTTAAAAAGGTAAATTTTTTTTTATTGTTATAAAAATTTAATTTCTACTTTCATACCTGTCATAATATTAGGAATAAAAATGAATAGCAAATTGAAATTTAGCAATAAGGATTTTGAAATTCATCTTAGTTACAAAATAATCATTGTTTTGATTTTTTTTTAAATAATAAATTTTATTTTTATATTCCCCATACAATTGCAACCCCCCCATTCTGACACCAATCCCTCCCCTCCCGCCCCCAAAAAGTGTCTCTGGTTCATAGTTTTTTGTTGATTTTGATTTTCACTTTCTTATAGTTATTCATTTTCCTGGTTCCTTATTTAAGTTTTCTAGATTCCTGCTATGAGTGAGACCATCGGGTATTTTTCTTTTTCTTTCTGGCTTATTTCGCTGAGCATGATCCCTTCCAGCGCCATCCATGTTGCTGCAAATTGCATGTGTTTATCTTTTTTGAATGCTGAGTAATATTCCATGGTATATATGTACATCTTCTTGATCCAGTCATCTATTTTTGGGCATTTGGGCTGTTTCCATAGCTTAGCTATTGTAAATAGTGCTGCTATAAACATAGGGGTGCAGGTGTTCTTTGGCAACAACAACAAAGAAAATAATCCAGTCAAAAAATGGGCAGAAGAGCTAAAAAGAAACTTCTCTGAAGAGGAAATGCAAATGGCCAACAGGCATATGAAAAAATGTTCAACATCACTTGTAATCAGGGAAATGCAAATCAAAACTACCATGAGATACCATCTCACACCAGTGAGAATGGCACATATTAAAAAAACTAGCAACAACAAATGTTGGCGAGGGTGTGGAGAAAAAGGAACTCTCCTGCACTGCTGGTGGGAGTGCAAACTGGTCCAACCACTATGGAGAGCTGTGTGGAGATTTCTTGACCTACTAAACATAGAGCTTCCATATGATCCAGCAATTCCACTCCTAGGTATTTACACAAAAATGTAAAATGTTTTAAGAATTTTGATTGATTTACTTTAGTACTCTATCCACCAACCCTCTTTTCCCCTTACTCTTATCTCTTAAGATTTCTCCCATTGTGGCAATTTTCTAGAATTTTTACTGTTTTGTGGTCCATTTTGTCAGTGTGTTGAAGCCTAAAGATGAACTTTTTAGCATAATGTATTAAATGTAGAAGATGAGCTATATAAGATCACAAAAGAAGCCAATTAGATGGAAATACTATTCTATTTACATAGTCCTCAGAGTCCACGGATCCACCTTGAGAACATCTGATTGGGGAATGACTTTTCCAATACACTGAAAGCTTTTTCTTATAGGACACAGTATACAAAAAAGGGTTTAAAACCCAAAGACATGTCATAAAATATCCTGGTCGGTATCAGTCAGTAAAGAAAAGAATAAGCTGTAAAGAGAAGCCTGTCCTTGAATATCTGCCCAAACTCAGTGCTATTCATGCTGTGGCTTCAAAATACTACATTAAGGAATTACTCAGAGTACTGTCTTGGCTCCAGCCCCATTGGCACAGGATTTCTGCATCCTGATGGCAAGTTAAAAAAAAAAAAAAATCAGCGTTAGAGAAGAAGACTGAGATGAGTCTGAGCCTGGGCACTAGTTCTCAGGCTACTAACTAGTTCTCTACCACAAACTAGCTTGGTCAAGTCACTCCATTCTGAATTGCAACCCTTGTCTATAAAAGAGAAGGCTAAGTTAAACCATCTCTAGGACTTCTTCCATCTCTGAATTATTAAGATTCTAAGACAATGTACAATTGTTTCTCTGGGAAGAAACATATTAGTGAGATGTCTTTTTTTTTTTTTTTTTTTTTTGAAAATGCCTTCTACACGAGACTTTTTCAGAGACATTAGAAATACCTCATGAAACTCATCTAATCATAGCATTTTAGACTTGGAAGGAATTTTAAGAGACGTGTGCCATCTCACCAATACCAGTGACCAGAAAACTGAGGTTCAGAAAGGCAAAGAGATCTGAGGTCACATGGCACTATGTTAATAGGCTGTTGGTCTTACTATCTTGCACCAGCAGGATTTTAGGATTCAGCATTTGTAGTAAAAACCAGCTCTTCAGTCCACTTGAAGAGAGATGGAAATAAACCTCAAATAAGCTGAGCTATAGAATGGAAACTGCACGAGGAAGCAGGTGGTGGGGTAATGATGCCCACAGGTAGCATTCTATACCCAGGGCAGGGTCAAAGCTGAGGCAACACCTATCTCCATCAAATTACCATGGCCACAAAATCCATCTCAAAGAATAGTTAGTATATAACAATGAACAATGAGTAGTTATTTCAAAAGAGGGGATTGAATGAACATCACTAATAAGGTGATAAAACCAAAGTTCAGCATTTGAGTTGTTAATATAATCTGAAAAGACAGCATTAACTAAGATAATCTAAAATTACTTGCGGGAATTTTCAAGTTTTAAAGGAATTTAAAGTTTTAAAGGATTTGGAATATCTTTTGACCGACTTTCTATACATAGCCCTGAGGTATAGTAACTACTTATGCCAGTGCTATTTTACTCTCACCACTATCTTTAGTGCATGTAGTTATTAGATATCAATTGGGTATAAAAGTCACATGTATATTTTCATAGTCCTGCCATGGGAGTTCTTTTAATGCAAAGAATTAGAAACTATGAAGTTAGTGGGAATTTTGATGAAGTCACAATTTCTACCTCATGTTCAATTAACTAACATGTATGACAAGTGCTTTTACAATCTGTACTACGTGCAGTGTGCCCTCTCCCTTCACCCTTGGGACACACACCAGCTAAATAATCATACCCGTTTCCTCAATCTCCACAACATTCATTACTACCTTATATAAACAGTCTGGCTTCTCTCTGAGAGTTGACAGACAGCCTTTCAAAATCTCTTAGAGTCTACACTCTGCTGGTCTGCCAGTTCCATAGTTCCTCACCTCCAGGAATTCCCAGGGACAGCAGTGCCATCTACTGGCAGAGAAGGCACAACTTTTTGTTTTTTCTGAATGCCTATGGGGGTGACATGAACCAAGGAGCTAAAAGAATGGCAGCCTAGATTTGTGTCCTTGTGATGATGCTCTTTTCTAGAGCATGTTACAGATATGACTGATGTTTACACCCTGATACGTGGAGCCTCCACAGGGGCCACCATTGCAAAAGGCAGGTCTCCAGGAAGCCATTCAAAGCTCAGCCAGGCTAACCAATGATGTTGCAGTTGTGCCTGTAAGTGCCTCCTCAAGGCTCCAAAGGCCAAGAGCAGAGCTTCACTGAATTAAACATTTTGTGGCTCTCCTTTTCCCTCCAGTGCTTCTGTATCAGATGCCTCTCACCCGTGTCCCCATCTGCAGCGATGTTATACAGCTCTCTCTTTACAGCACGAATCCTAAGGAAGATGCTCAAACCCTGCTCAACGTGAAGGCTCTTATATTTACACAATGTGACATAGATCCTGCTCAAAGGACACTACTGCTTAGGTATGCAGGTCGGACTCTAATCTCTCGTTTGCTCTCCATACCCCCTGGCCCAGGGGACAGAAATGACAGAAAGGAAATGATTTTGTTGTTGCTTTGAAAGCAGTACTAGTGGGCTTTTATTGAATCAGAAAATAAAACCTGGTCCTATAGGTCACTGAGGTACCTTCCTTCCCTCAAGATGAACTAAGCCTGCCAATCTTCCTGTTTTCCCTTGTGTAACCTAGTAAGTGCTTTCCAGCTTTTTCAAAACCTGTGCCTCTCTTCCACAGCTAAACAAACATCACACACCCTTAGTTTATATAACAAAACTGACCTCTTCCTCTCTAAACATAAAAGGATATACCTTTTCAAACTGTAACACCTACCCCATCCTCAGAATCCCTCTGCTTCTCAATCACATACCAGTTATAATGGGGGAAACAATCATTGGCAATTTTTTAAATTATTCCCACTAATTTGCTTTATGTTCCAATTTATTGGATGACAATCTATATTTCACTTTACTACGGTCATCTGTTATATTCCTAACAAGCTTCGTGGCAACTCTTCTTTTTCTTCAACTGCCTCAGAAAACCATCAAAAGTTAATTTGCATCAGCTGATAAATGTGAATTCTGACTCCCCCTCCCCCCAAACTTAAGTGTTACTCTTCAATTTGTTTAACTTGTCAACTAAATTCATTTCTTAGCAAGCATAGACATTTCGTAGGCATGAGGCACGTTTGAAAAATCAGATTGTTTCCTAAGGAAATAACTTTGCGCAGGAGAGATAAGAGTAATATCAATAAAAGGGCTTTGAAACATATCTCGCAGGAATCAGATTGTTGTTCATTGCACCAGAATAAGTTCTAAATAGATTCCAGTGAAACTCCAGAATACAGCAAAATCTTCCAAATGAGCGAGCTGAATCATTTCTTACTGAGTAGACCACCACATACATGCAACAAATTAACCAGTGGAAAACGAAGTGACTTAACATTTCATTTGAAGATGTACAGTATGCCCTTGTATTGCAGGACTGGAGAAATGAAGGAGAGAAAGGGAGAGGATGCCTTACACTCATTTACACACACAAGCCCCTTTTAAAGTAAGACTTAAAGGAGACACTCCCCCCACCCCCACTGCTTTTACAGCATCCAAACGGTCTTCTTTAAACATGCACTTTTCAAAGAATTAAGGGGGTCTGAATAGATGTAATTTAGACCTGGCCTTCCCTTCTCCCTACAACTCATTAACAGCAGAAAATCATTACTCGCTTGGGCACCCCAGAAAATTCTCAGTTAACAGAAATTACCATCCCCCTCTGCCCCCAAAACCCTATCTTCTTGAAGAAGAATCTCACTGTGACTGAAGATCTGGTCTGCAGTTCACTGCAGGCATTTCCCTCCTCGCAATTTACCAGTCCTCGCAATTTACCAGTCATCAATTTCACTGTAATTTCTTTTTGTGGCCTCTCTTTTAGACCTGCTCCACCAGTGCCCAACTGCTTCTTCATTTTTTTTTTTTTTTCTATCTCTTAACGAACCTCTGGATTCCTTCGACAGACCCAAAGCTTCCATCTCTCTCGGTGCAACTCCGGGGTGCGAGCAGGCGTGCAGGTGCAGAAAAGCCTGCAACCCGCACACCTGGGCACGCTCCCCAGGTCATGCCCCGCACCCCGCCCGCCGGGCTGCCCGGGGAATTCGGCTTCTCCCGCCTGGGTGGGATTAGTTCGAGCCCCACGGGCTTGGCCAAAGTGACACTACATTTTCCCCTTCGCTCTCCCATGACAGGTCCTACCGCATTAAACTCATCTCCTGCCCGGCCCCAGCCCACGTCCAGCGCCCGGGATGCCCCTGCCCGCCACCATCCCGACCCTTTACCTGAGGAGGCGGCCGACGCCAGCCTCCCCCGGGCGGGAGACAAAGGCGGAGGCGAGACGTCAAGGTGGGCAACTCCCCGCGGGCGGCCCCGTCGCCGCGGCGAGGAGGGCGGGGGGGCGCCTGAGGGCGCAGGAAGAGGGAAACCAAGGCACCGAGCAGGGGGACGGGGTCCCGCTCTGCAGCCTCCCCGAGGCGCGGCTCCCTGGGCCGGCCGACCCAGACCTCCCCGCCCCACCCAGCCATGCCCAGCCCGCCCGTCCGCCCCCGGCCGCGCCGAGGCCGGCAGGCGGTCCAGCCGCCGCGCTCACCTGAGGAGAAGCGCTCCCGCTCCCTCCGACGGCTCGGGAGAAAGCCCCGCCGCTCGCGCACGCGCTCTCGCGCTCTCTCGCCTTCGCGCCCCCGCGCGCGCCCCTACGACCGGGCTCTGGCCCGCCCCGGCCCTGTCCGTCAGCGTCCGCAAGAGCCAATCCCGTCGCGCGGGAATCTGGTCACGTGGTCGTGCCAGCCAATCAGTAAATTGCCCTCAGCAGCGCCCGCTCCGATGTCCCTGGGGGTTCGGTTGCTACCCAGCAGAAAGGGTGCGAGGTGGGCACAAAGGGCTGGATCTGTTTGCAGGCACTGATTGGTTCGGAGTGATTCATCAGTAGATCAATTTATAGCTCAAACTCTAAATGTGAATAGGAATCACTTGGGTATTCTGTTGAAAGATGGTAAAACCCAGTATCTGGAATGGGGAGTTGAGATTGTGCCTGTCTTGGTAAGCTCCAGATACTCCTGGTTGAAGAGCATGCTTTGAATAGCAAGATTTTAAGGGCAAATGTTAAAAAATGTTGGTTATGTAGTCCCTGTTTCATTTTCTCTGAAAGTTTTGCGACCTTTAGTTTCCTTTCTCAATAAAATGACTAAACATGGGGTATCTTGGTCTCCAAATTTGGGGACTGGCCGAAGAGAGGGTGTGTTTAATTCCCACATCACCCACCCTTAGCCCATGGGGCAGCAACCTGGGCCAACTCGGCATTGGCGTAGGAAAACTCTATGTGAACTGAATGCACCTCATAGAAAAAGCCAGGTCTCCGTTCATACTGAAGTATAAGGTGTATGTGGAAGAGTGTCACTGTGCTAGACTTGACCTAAGAAGCGATATAAGTAGTTTCTAGTTTTTGAAAATTTACAATCCAGCATATAACTTCACGTACAGCTCAGGAAGGAGCCAATAGGAAAAGCTTTCAGGAGCTAACAATGATTTAAGCATCGTAGACAATGCAGGTATGAGCCAGAGAGGTTATAAAATAACTTATGCTAGAGAACCTAAATTTTTCCAGACTTTTCTGCCAGTTATTGAAGAGGTCAGGGAGCCAAGTGACTCTGTCATCTCTTAAACGTGGCCTAAACCCAAGTATTTCCTGACTGACCAATAAGAACCTTTGCTGTTCAGCATCGTTAAGTGCTTATTACCCAATAGTATATCAAAGTGATAGGAAGTGTCACATGCTAACTTCTCCAGAACCTGCCTTCAGTTCTTCACCAGGTGGTATGATGCTGTTTCAAGCAGTTTTCTCTTACCATTCATTGTGATCAAACTATCATTTAGAGAAATTGTCACCCTTGTTAGCTTGTCTTGGTCCTCTCTGGCTTAGCTCCAGAAATGAAGTCCTCTAAGTTACCTCAGGCATTGTTCATCACAGTGTCTTCATCAGAAATGAGATAGCACAAAATAGAGTTTTAGGGAATGCTTTGAATCTAGCACAATAATGGATCGGACTATAGCAGGAATAAAGAATGTCTAATAAAGAAAAATATGTCTGAAAGCCTCAAGAAAGTTTGCCATCATTAAACCAGTGGTTTTCAAATTTAGCTGCATCATAAAACTTTCAAGGAAATAGATTTTTGGACCCTGTGCCTAGAGTTTCTGATTGGGGTAAAGAATGGAACAAAATCAACTACCAGTGTTAAAAGTTGCACAGCTGAATGGTATCCAGCCATGCCTGCTTAAGGTGCTAGATGAAAAGACTATTCTTTAACAAGAAAAGATCAACTCTGAGACAAAAAAGATATAGACTCTAAAAACAGTAGAACGTTTCCACATAATGTGTGAGAATAGATTTTTTTAAAGGAAAAGGCAAAATAATTTATAGGTAATAAGTACCATAAATTAAATTGAGGTAACATTGGTTTATAAGACTATACATGATTAGAGGTATATGTTCACACCTCTTCAGCTATATGATACTACACCATACCCACCACCAAGACTCCCATAGTCCTCCTAGCTAACCTTCCCCCGGCTCCATGGTAACATCAATTCTACTGCACAGATTTCTAGGGTTTGTTTTGGTTTGGTTTTATCTGGCTTTACTTTGTTTATTTACATTGCACATAAAAATGAGATCATCCAATATTTGTTTTTCTGCTGACCATTTTTCCCGTAGCATAATCCCCTCCAGTTCCATTCATGTTATTGCAAAAGGCAAGAGTTTGTCATTTTTTTCTTTATATTTTTTGTGTAGATAACATCGGTTTACAATACTGCATTGGTTCATCTTTTTTATGCCTGCATATTGTTCCAATATGTATATATATATATATATATATATCCCATCTTCTTAATATACTCAATGTCATTGGACAATTTGGTTGTTCCCCTAAGTTGGCTATTGTAAATAGGGCTACAGTGAACATAGGAGTGCATTTATCCTTTTAAATTAGTGTTTTGCATTCTTTGGGTAGATAACTAGGAGTTGAATTATTGGATCATATGGTAGATATTATTTTTAATATTTGGGGAACCTCATAGAGGTTGGACCTGTTATAGTCCCACCAACAATTTACAAGGGTTCTGTTTCTCCACACCCTTGCCAACTCAGTGGAACAAATTGAAAACCCAGATCCACAATTAGATTTAATTCCAATTGACAGCTAAATATTTCAAAAAGAACCCATTACTTTTAGTTAACCCTGCCAAACATTCTGTTCTCTCTTGGTGATAGGTTCGCTTGTTTTATGCCCTTATTAACTGAAAAAGCAAATTTCCATTTGAGCTTTACTTCAAGTTATTCTCTGAGGCTTTTTCCCAAAGTGTACATCAGAATTACCTGGGATACTTGTTAAAAAGCCCACTCCAGAACCTCCTCTTATCTCTCTCATATAACAATTTAAAAATCCAAGTTGTATCTCCTAATGCAGAACATCTACATTACAGGCAAACTCTATTACTTCAGTTTGTCACGCTAGCTAAATAAAGGTGAACCTATTTATTTATTTATTTTTTAAGATTTATTTATTCATGCATATAAGAACCAGGATACAGGCCAGATGTACTGGAAGGTGAGAGGATTCACCAGAAACAGAATGGGGAACAGAACAGGTAGACTGAATGAAATACACTGCTGAGGGGAGCAGTGGGCGAGACCGGAGAGGTCTGCTGTGACATGTGGGTATCTCTGTGGCTGGCTGGGATCAAACCTGCACTGCAGAGGCTGTGGACAACTTCATAGCACTGTGCTCAACCGCCTGCTCCACCAGGGAGGCCCTGAACCTATTTTAAAGAACTCCAAGAGTCTCTCAATTTTCTTTATGGGGTTCTTGCCAAATTCTTTTATTTTTTGAAATAAAGTGATTGCTGATTGGATCTTAGACAGCAGTTGTTGCACAGAGTTTTCCTATGGAGTGATATTTGCTGTGGGTGGAGTATGACCTAGTTTTTAACTGAATTAGTGAGGTCCCCTCAGAACACTCTGCCAATTGCAGTTACCTTGCTCAAAAGTGACTTTATTTGCCACATCAGAAATATGGAATCCTGATGTGTGAGCCTGCAAACTAGCTTCTCTCCTGCTCTGACACTTTTAAAAATATATTTCACAACATTCAAATGAGGAAGATATTTTTCTCACCTTGTAAACTTGTAGCTTTATCTACTGGGTTAAATAAGGACAGTTTTCAATGAAATTTAACTAGCATGAGTAATGTAAAATTTTAACTAGAAAAAAATCATTTATTTTTCTCTTTGTATGTGTCATCATTACAAAAAGAGGCAACAAAAACCAGAGATTCTTACTTGCGGGTAGAAATTTGAAAAAAATACTTCCATGCTGTCATTCATTTTCTGTTTTGCACACTGCTTGCTTCAAATATATAACCTGGTTACCATAGCTCAGGAAATGGATATGTTAGTATCTGATATAAATCATGAATTAGATTAAGCAACATGCCCCCATGCCACTCCAATTTGCTTAGAAAGTTTTCAGTATATTTGAAAAGAAAGAGACAAGACGTAAACTATCAATTCTCCAGAAATCTACCCATTGCTCCATTATGATCAGATCCCCCATAGACTATAGTAAAATTGCTAATTACATTTTTATCTCTCTAGCAATAAATAGCTTCTCTAAATTTAATAGATATCATTCATGAAGACTTACAGATTACCCAAGATCCTAGTATCTATCTGCTGTATAATTCAGGCAGGATAGCATTTTATATCTGTATAGCTGTGTTTAAATAACAGATACCTTTTTCCATTTAAAATAACTGGGCACAGATTTAACCTAACACACTGGAGACTTTTTAGATTAATTTATGTTCTTTATAGGTAACATAAAAAATACGAATATCAACATCTGACAAATTATTTCTTTGTTTTCTCTCTACTCCACTCCTTTCTAGAACATAAGCACGTATATTTTGATTATAGTCCCTATGTATCCCCAGCGTTTAAAACTAGTACATAGCAAGAAAGCCAAAAGTATTTGTATGAATTTGACAGGAGAGGTTTGTGTTATAATTTTTCATAGAAACCCTTATAATTGTAAAAATAATTCATGTTAAAACTTCCCATCCAGAGAAATGCATATTACAGAAAAATTACCTTAAAATGAAGAACCAGAAAATGTTAAATGAGATTGGAAAAGCTGAAAAAAATTTATCCCTGTAATAATAGTGGAAAGTCTTAATTATCCAAACACAAAGTAACCAACTGCTCAATTAGCAAGAGGGATGTGGGAAGGGAGTACTTGATGTCAATAAATACAAGACTACCTTCTAAATCCCACAAAAAAGGGAAATAAAGGGAACTTTCATCTTAAACAGGATTAAAATGAACCCAAGAGATTGCTGTGGGTGAGACATAAAGCAAAAATTAATAACATGATTACATCCCACATCCTCATGGGACAGGGGGAAACCAAGAAACCTATTCTATACTCTCTGGATTTTTTAAAAAAGAAGTATGATAATTATAGACCCCATTTAGGAGACAAATGAAAGAATTTTAAAAAGTCAATAACCCACAAGAAAAGTCTGTGTACTTTTTTTTATTGCTTTCTGTTAAAAGCATATGCTAAGGAATAAAAATAACAAGCGTTAGAGGTAG